GGTGTGTTCTGGGTTTTCAAATAGGTGTTTGGTTGTTTTTTTTTTTTGCTTGCATAAGAGAGACTTTAGTTTTCTTGCACTGTTGTGTGGATCTCAACAGATTTTTTAAATTTCATTTTATAGGAGGAGAATGGCCCAAAATACTGCACCAGCAACGTCCATCCATGATGAGGACTCTTCTGAAAGCAGAATGGTGGTTACGTTCCTCATGTCAGCACTTGAGTCAATGGTTAGTAGAAACGTTAAGGAGCTGCATCATAACTGTCTTGGCATGTGCAGGATTGCACCAGTGTGTTGCTTCCCACTGGGGAGCAGGGAAGGTGTAATGTTATATCTTTACCTTACTGCGTGCTGTCTAACCAGCTGTAACTCTTGCCTCTTTGCTTGTGGAAAATCACACTAACAGTCTTCTTAACAGTCCTCTTGTTTCTTGTTGTGGTGTGGTTGTTTTAAAAATGATTGTGTCAAATAAATGGAAAATATTTCCTGATTGCTAAGGTAAAGCGTGGTTGAAAGGCAAGAGTGTGTTCTGGTCTCTGTCATCTGTAATACAGAGTGAATAAATGGTCTTGAGGCTAATGCCTTGTCCTCAGCTGCTGTGCTAATCCAACAAAACTTGTTCAGAAAATACTTTTTTTTTTTTAAAATTGGCATATCACCTGTTTTGTAGAAGCTATTTAATTGTTGTGTGGTGGGGTTTAAGGTCGGCCAGGGCTGTGAGTGGAAATGCCTGTGCTGTTTCTGTAAAACAGGGGCACTGTCAAAGATTCGGTTCTTTAAAATTGTTTTCTTAAATGATAAGCAAGAATAAAAAAATTTATTTTTAGGAATGAAACTTTGAATGGGATGGATAAGATAATTGATTGCAAGATAAGATAATAGACTGCAAGCCTTTTTTCCCAATGGGTATGGGTATATCTAGTTCCTAAAGGCTTTGTGTTGCTTTTTCCTCTCATGCTGCAGTTGGTGTCTTTACAGGTTGCAGCAAACCCTGATTTGAGCTCCTAGGAGAAACTGACTTTCTGTGATCACTTCTTGATGATCTCACTCATTTTCTTAGTATCTTTGCTCTCTCCTTGTGCCACAGGCTTGCTGCCTTACTTCTTTGCCAGAAATTTCTCCCAGCAGAACACATGTGGGTGTTCACAGGGAAGGTGCAATCCTTCTGCTCAGGAGGAACCCACCTGAGCCTGAGCACAGCGGGCAGGACAAGGCAGACTGCAGGCAGCCTTCTTGCTTGCAACCACACCTTTCTGAACAGAACGCGATGTGTGATAAGTGTGCTGTGAATGAACAAAACTCCTATATCCTCTGTTGAAAGTTGAAGATACTCAATATGATTATCTAACAGGGAAGTGATAATTTCACATGGATTGATGTCATAAATAATTTTAATTAAAACCAGTGCAATCTCTGAGTCTAGACAAGGCCTTAATTTCACTAATGCATCTACAATGCTTTTAAGATTCCTGATGAAAAGCACTCCAGATGTAGAAATGATCCTTTGCTAATGGCTGATATTGTGCTACTCACAGTACCACATACATTTCTATTAACTGTACTCTTAACTATAGTAATAAAAGCTTTTTGTTTTTCTTTTTATAGTGTAAAGAACTTGCCAAGTCCAAGGCAGAAGTTGCCTGTATTGCTGTATATGAAACAGATGTGTTTGTAGTTGGAACTGAGAGAGGAAGAGCCTTTGTCAATTCTAGGAAAGATTTTCAGAAGGATTTTGTTAAATACTGTAAGTTTCAATGTTGTGTTTTTGTATTTCACAAGCTGCTTAATCTGTATTGCATAATGCTAACAACTCTGGGGAGTAAAGTTCTGCATATCATGGCTACATGCTATAATTACGTTGGCTATGGCAAACCCAGGTGTTGAAGAACATAAAAATGATCGGTAACAGTGGTTGTCTTCGGGGTGTTATTTCAACTGTGGCTGGAAATGTTCACTTAGATAACGTGACAAACAAGTACAATAAGAAGTATTAGACTCTCCACCCTCACAACACATCCTAAACTTCCTAGTGCATGTTAATTTTAATTTGTATCCCCACCTCAGAGTCATTTTTCCCCACTCGTGAAGGCTGGGTGGGATGTTGAACAGGTAGTGGACTACTGTCAGCTCAGATGGTCCTGGTTCTTTGGATCGCTTCATGCCTTATTAAAGCAGATGCACATTTCTGACAAGATATTATAAAAAAGCTATACAAAAAATACCACTGTTATTTAATAGACAGAAATATGTGTCTATACCATAGTGACTTACAATTCCTTCTGCATTACTCTTTTACTGCTTTAACTACATCTAGGGTGTGTATTTTGTTTAATTTCTATAGTAAAACAGTGGAACTTCTGTGTTCATAAAATGTGATCCATTGAGTACAGGACAGTATTTTTAGGAGTTAGGTTTCAAAGATTCAGTGACTCTTGCAGAGCAGTGATGTGCTCATTTAGGAACGCATCACTGATGGACACTGCTTAATAACAAAATGTACATTTATTTGTGTGGGGAAAGGGAGAAGATGCAAGTCAAGAGCAGGGTATGAGAGGAGACTCTATCTGGGGGGGAGTTTAAAAGCAACAGCTGTAAAATGTTCTGGCTTGACTAATTAAATACTGCTTGGAAAGCAACTGTTTTTAATGTGAGACAGAAACACTTGCTCCTAAAAATGCTTTTGCTGCTAGCTGAAATTTTCCTGGAGGTTTTGTCTCAAGGTGATTTCATCGTGGTGTGGCTCTGAATTTTTGCCACTGTCCCACTCCCTTGGATAGTGACCTTCTGTGCGCTTAAATATATTTACTCTAAGTAGAGTCACCACAACGTTGCATTGTAACAGGTAACTGATACCAAAATGCAGAATTACGACCTCACTGAGGAATCATGGATAAGATGAATCAATTCCTGTTTTATTTTTTACAGGAGCCATCTTCTGATACTGGTATTTATGAAAACTGTTAGCTGAATAATGGGGGGAGTTCAGTTTTTCACCTGACTTCTTTTTTTGTTGTTATTCCTTAAAGAGCTTCCCTGAGGTCCTAGATACTTGTGTTTTATTGCCAGTGCAGTGGTATTATGGGCCCCAATATACTGGAGACTTTGGATATTGGGCACATCTATTGGTAGGGAGTCTGAAATAACTGGGATTTGATATTTGATCTACCTGGCTAGATCTGTATTTCTGGTTCTGTACTGCAGGAAGCACTGGCTTCTCATCCATGCTTGTGTTCGACTGTATCAGATGTGGTTTCTATAGGTATGTACATGAGTTTAAATCTTAGATTGGTTCTGATAATCCTGATCCTTTGCTTTATTCCAGTTAGAAGATAATCGTTCTTGGGCAGTGTTTTTATACTGTCAGGCTGACGAGATTAAACAATATCCACTTTGAAAACGGTGTTTTCATTATGCTTCTTGCAGAACATCGTGGTGTAGATCTGTGTGAATGAAGCCAGCGGACCTCAGCCATTGCTTTCATGGTTTCACTAAGTGCGTATCCCCCATTCTTTCTGGGGAGTTTTGATGCTGGAGGTAGTTTTCTCCTGTTGCTGACAAAGATGTTGGTAATTTCAGAAAACTTGGCTTTAGAACACCAATTTTTAGGAATAATAGCATTACATATTCCTGGCAATGCTGATTCCATCACTGCCTTTAACAACTTTTTTAAGTCTTGATGAAGTTTATAGTGTAATATCTTTTGATCTAAAACTTAGAACTGTGGAGGCAGCAGTTCCTTTCCCCTCTCAAACCTTGTTTCAAACGTGAACGCTAGCAATAGGCGTTAGTTGCAACTTTAGTAGTGTTTTGGAAAAATCCGTGAAGGCCACAGCTCCGTGTGGTTTTAGTGAGTTGGGTCCTTTTTTGTCCCTTTTACGATTTAATAAAGGTTTCCAAGAGATTCTTACATTGCTGTTAGAATTAAACCTTTAAAAATTCAGCTGTGGTCTCCCTTTGGAACGTGTGGTGCTGGCAATATTGAGAATTAGCTCTTGACTTGTGTGGGTCTCTTCACTTTTCTTTAAGCGTGGAAACAGAAGCGTAGTTACTAAGCATTCCTCTGGCTATGTCTGACTGTTGTAACAAGCCAGCGTGTGTCTCCAGTCTTCACTTCCACTTTTCCCCCAGCTCCTCTGCGTAGTTTGAGTAAATATGAAGGGTTTTCAGAATTTGGAGGGCCTGGGCTTCAAACCCACTGCTTATTTTTAGTAATTAGTATAATTTAATGGGCTAAATTGGTGAAATGCCTATATAAGGCTTATGAAAGAAGTAGCACGTACACTTTCTAGCAGTATAGGACTGATAAAAATAACAGCGGGTCAGCAAAAGTGGCACTGGAGTTTGGTTTCCTGCGGCTTTCATTCATAACAACCGTCACCCACATTGGTTCCCTAACGCCTATCTGCGGGGGAAGGAGGAGCCCCACACATATCTCATGTACCTTGTTACCTTCAGAAAATGTGTTAGAAACAAATTCATAATGATGCTTTTTTTTTTTTTTTTTTTTTTTAATATTAGTCTGGGTTGTGTAGTGAGTGTTGAAGAACCAGTCGACAAGCATTAATTATCTAAAATTAGGTCAGATAATATATTCTTCTGAACTGTGCTTAATTAAGATGGCTGTAAGCCCTATGTTACAGTGAAATGATATCTTTCAATCAGTGTAGAACCACATGTGCTTGTATGCATAACATATAACTTAGGTAACCTGCAGGGTTATTCCAAACCTGTGTAATTTTGTATTGTGCATAAAAAGAGGGTATCCTTCGAGTGCCTGCTCACATTCGGAGCACGGACAAGCATGGATACTTATGCACTGTAAGTGATCAAGATCATACAGGTCTTGCCCTACCAAGTACCTCTTTGTTTTAGTTGCTGTTCCCTGCTGAAGTGTATTGTGTGGTCCTCAGTTCCTCTTGGATCACCTCGGCAAGATGAAGTACCTCCTTGCTCTCTGGATTGTTGCGGAGTTGTGGATTATCAGCCATCCTGAACAGAGACTTATTCCTGGGGTCTCTCACGAATGCTGTTCCCTTCATGTATTCATCTTTGTCATCTTGGCGGTTTCCCTTGAGGTTTGTATCAGCTCTGTGGAATTAATTTTCATTTGAATGGAGCTGGAGGTGATTTATAAAACAAATAAACAAACCAGAAGAGGCCTCATCATCCCCAGGTTGTATTTGCTGTCAGAAGTGAATTTACAGAAGAGTTTCCTGACTCAGAAACACCTTTTTGGTCATCTACTCCGGACTTTGAAAGAGATTTACCCAGCACAGTGCGTTCCATCCCATCTGCCAAGGAGCTGATTGTTCTCCAAGAATCCCGGTGGCCTCTGCTAGCGTTTCCACTGGTACCGGCTGTTGCACCATCGGTATGTAGGTCGCACGGAAGCGTGATCCTGCTACTTCTGCAACTTTCTGTCAGCCCTCCCAGTCATGCTGCTTTTTCCTTCTTTGGTGCCAGGGCTCTGGGCTCACTTGCCTGAGGTGGGGCCATCTTGCATCTGTAGGTGGTTCATCTTGGATGATAGGTCCTTTATTTTTAGGAGCCTTCATTTTCCTTCTAGGGGCCTTAAATTCCCGTGCTGATCTTAACAATGCATCTGGTGTGGGCCAGAGTTTGGCTTCAAGTCCTGCTAGAGACTTTGGCCGAGCGTCTTTCACTCTTCTTACCTGTACCTTCATGTTGATCTAGCCACAGGTTGCAAGAACTCCTTGTAGCTTCAAGAATGCTCAGAATCAGAGTGGTTTTAATGGGCACAGTGGTTCCTCCTATCATGATGAATGAGTGGCACACGATGCTTCAAAGACCTTATGGCAAAGATTGCTCAGCTTTGGCTCCTCAGTATCTTTGGTATGTGGGTTACTGTTCCCCTTTGGATATCTGTAATCTGCAGGCAAGTAAAATGACTCTTCCCATAAACTAGGCTACTGGGGACCCACTCGAAGATCTGTGGCTAGGCTTCCGTCTCATTGAATCCTTCTGGCCTTTGAGCAAATAGAGGTATCAGGTTTTCTGGGGATTTTTTCTTCTGCCTTTGTGCTTCCTTATCTGTAACTAATGTAATGCTCCAGCAGTTTAGAGGGGGTGGAAAAAGCAAACAAAACCAGAAACCTGAAAGGCTAGATCTTACTGGTTTAAAAAATGAAACAAAACAAACTCAAAATGGGCAAGTCTAACTGGATTGGTGACTGTTGGATTGTCTTGGCCTGCTGTAATTTCCATCTGAGCAGCTGAAATTGGCATTTCTGGGCTTTTGTAATGCCTTGTCCCTTATAGTCTAGAGAGAATTAAGCATCTCTGGCTGAAGTTATACCATGTCTAGGGTCTTGCTATGGTAGATGCTGGCTTCCTACTCCATAGCGGTAATTATAGCTATGCAGTGACTGTCATAGAATCATAGAATCACTTTGGTTGGAAAAGACCTTTGAGATCTAGTCCAACCTTTAACATAACCCTGCCATCCCACCACTAAACCATGTCCCTAAGCACCTCATCTATTCTTCTTTTAAATACCTCCAGGGATGAGGACTCTATCACCTCTCTGGGCAGCCCATTCCAGAGCCTGACAACCCTTTCGGTGAAGAGGTTTTTCCTAATGTCTAGCCTAAACCTGCCCTGGCACAGCTTCAAACCATTCCCCCTCGTCCTATCATCTGTTACCATGGAGACGAGACCGACCCCCACTACAGCCTCCTTTCAGGTAGTTGTAGAGGGTGATCAGGTCTCCCCTCAGCATTCTCTTCTCCAGACTAAATAACCCCAGTTCCCTCAGCCGTTCCTTGTATGACTTGTGCTCCAGACCCCTCACCAGCTTGGTTGCTCTCCTCTGGACGTGCTCCAGTAATTCAACATCTTTGTTGTAGTGAGGGGCCCAAAACTGAGCACAGTATTTGAGGTGTGGCCTCACCAGCGCCGAGTACAGGGGCACGATCGCTTCCCTACTCCTGCTGGCCA